CTCTTCATTTCTGGTGCCTTTGGTCGGTTCTTTCGTGCTGATGTGTGTGTGTGTGTGTCTGTGTGTGTGTGTGTGTTTGTGTTTGAGTTTGAGTTTAAGTTTGAGTTTGTGTTTGTGTTTGTGTTTGTGTTTGTGTTTGTGTTGTGTTTGTGTTTGTGTTTGTGTTTATGCGTGTGTGTGAGTGTGTGTGTGTGTGTGTGGTGTGTGTGGTGTGTGTGTGGGGTGGTGTGTGTGTGTGTGTGTGTGTGTGTGTGTGTGTGTGTGTGTGTGTGTGTGTGTGTGTGTGTTTGTGTTTGTGTTTGTGTTTGTGTTTGTGTTTGTGTTTGTGTTTGTGTTTGTGTTTGTGTTTGTGTTTGTGTTTGTGTTTGTGTTTGTGTTTGTGTTTGTGTTTGTGTTTGTGTTTGTGTTTGTGTTTGTGTTTGTGTTTGTGTTTGTGTTTGCGTTTGTGTTTGTGTTTGTGTTTGTGTTTGTGTTTGTGTTTGTGTTTGTGTTTGTGTTTGTGTTTGTGTTTGTGTTTGTGTTTGTGTTTGTGTTTGTGTTTGTGTTTGTGTTTGTGTTTGTGTGTTTGTGTTTGTGTGTGTGTTTGTGTTTGTGTTTGTGTTTGTGTTTGTGTTTGTGTTTGTGTTTGTGTTGGTGTTGGTGTTGGTGTTTGTGTTTGTGTTTGTGTTTGTGTGGGTGTGTGCGTGTGTGCGTGTGTGCGTGTGTGCGTGTGTGCGTGTGTGCGTGTGTGCGTGTGTGCGTGCGTCTGTTTGTCTGTCTGTGTCTGTCTGTCTGTCTGTCTGTCTGTCTGTCTGTCTGGCTGGCTGTCTGTCTGTCTGTCTGTCTGTCTGTCTGTCTGTCTGTCTGTCTGTCTGTCTGTCTGTCTGTCTGTCTGTTTGTTTGTTTGTTTGTTTGTTTGTGTGTGTGTGTTGTTTTGTCTTGGACCCGATTCCCTAAGCCTGCCTCGTGATGATTCTGTAGCACCAACCTTGCTGCGACATTAGCCTTTGCACCATGACTTGACCAGAAGGAATGGTCGGTGGCAAAGACGCCGCTTGAGCGCTGAGAGGTATGAGAGGTGGCCAAGAAGTTGTGACTGGCAAACGGGGGCTGCAGGGCTTGCGTGAGTCAGGGACATGGATATGTCATGAGAAATTTGCTTCAACTTCCGTGGAATGTATTATATGAGTGTTTGTCAAACGGTGGACCCCCTTTTGGTTGGTATTCAGAGGAGCCGACAGGAAACCAACCATGTTAGAGGACCAACATTTTAAGAACGCATGCTCGCCAAACTACGAAGAACAATGAAGGATGGAAGGTATGTACTCACCTTATTCCAGTACATGTCAGTTGAGTTGGCGCAAGGAATGTCAGTTGTCGATGTGAACATGGCCTTGGATAATTTTGTCCAAACCTGCCTGGGTGCGCCCAAAATATCAATTTCCCCTCCACAGCAAAAGGAGGGATTAATAATTTGTTAGGCTTTCCAAAGTTTTCCAGACCCCCTCACTAGCCAGATCGGAACATCAACATGCTTGACTGTCCTCTCCAGGATTTGTCACACTGGATGAACTCAGCGGTCGAGATCAGTCGTCCCTTGGCAAAGTCCAGGGAACTTCTCCGACTTCTGCTAGCCTGACTCGGGCTGGCCTTGAACTGGTGTTGGTGTGCCCTTTGGCCAGGATCTGCCCCAATGCTGCGTTTGAGATACTGAGATCATGAGATCCTTGCTTGATCCGGGCATATGTGACTAGCCTCGAAGGCAATTCCAACCAAGCAGGAGCCAAGGATTACTCTGGGGTCTCCACCGTTCTTTTGTTGTGGATGATTCTGACCATGTCTGTCATGTTTGCAGCGAGCTTCCCGTTCGCAGGGACGCCAGGATGCGGTCCTCTTTGCATAAATATGGACCTCTCAACTGAAAAACATATTCAGGCTCACTTAAATATTGACCAGAGGCTGAAATGACAAAAACCTTTGGTGCAACTAGTTTCCTGCTTCACCAGGTTTCCAGTTTCAGGACCCGAGTCTTAGTGGCATTCCTTGCGAGCAACAGCTGGCCGTCCCCACATGCCCAGGACAAGTCTGGCAGATTGGTGCGCCGCTGGACATTTGGAGTACGACCCAGCCACGGATCGAGGCGTCAGGAGCTTATGCCGCGTCTAAGGTCTTTACGAAGGGATTCCTGGGAGCACACTTTCAAATGCATATTTGGAAGTCTCAGGTTATACATACCACGAGACACGAACCAGTGTCACGTTCTTGCTTTCAGTTGCCGAAATAGAATTGTGTTTTGATGTTTGCTCGGAAATGTGAGTCATGACAAGTTCTCAGGTGGGGCTGTGTATTTTGAAGTTACCCGTTTTTGTCTTGGTTCCAAGGGAAGCCAAAGGGCCGCCCATTTCTTCCCACCTCCCACGCGCTTTGCAGGTGGGCCTGGATTTCTGGAATGGCTTGAAGAACGGCTCTCTGGGCAAGGACCGGCCAAGTGTCAGCCAGACTTCCCTCCCCCCTCCCACCCCCCCCGGCCAAAAAGCTTGGATCTTTACGTGGACTCGGGGTCCCTTGAAAAGGAAAAATGGTCCAAACCGGGACCCCCTGTCAAGTTCCATGTTTGTTGGTGGGAGGGTAGCTTACCTTTGTGACGTTTTGCCTTTGTGCCTTTTTGGGCCGTCCATCGTTCGCCCTTTCAACCAGCAACAAGTTGTCACTTTCCGCGGGTCTAAGTCTGGCTCAAGGGCTGTGTGTTTCTTGAGTGTGCCCTTCTCAAGTCGGTTTCAAGGGGAACCAAGAGGTAAGCCACCAGTGTGGGCCCTATTTTGACGGCTGGCTGAAGTCACAACACGTAAGACACATGACGTCCACTTCGCACTTGCTGACTTGCGGGCCAGGTGGTCGTGGCAAGACCCAAAAAACAAGAAACACCCAACAACACCTCCAGAAAGGCCAAAAGTCGATCCGAAACTAGGAAAGCACCATAGACTCTTCCTATGGTGTTGTCAGCGAAAGACCGCCTTTCGCCCTCCATGCCGCAGGAACGGATGTACAAGCTCCTTGGCTGCTGCTTCCCTCAGCATGGATGCGCCATGTATCCCCATGCGACAACTGTAAGTTACATGCTGTTCCTGATTCCTTACTTGCAACTCCAAACAGTTGGTCTCATGTTGGAGAACCTGTAAAACCGCCCCACAAGTGCAGGACACCGCCATTGTTTGTCCAGAGAACGGCTTTAATGGCTCGGGCAACTTTGCCCGATACCCCAAGACAGCGAAAGGCCGCACTCCAAACCGATGATTTGAAGAGGCCACAGAGCTGTAACTTCCTGAACCCAGGATCCTTTTTTTTCCCAGAATGCAGAATGCCGCTCTAAATTCAATTGAAACGGCTTGCTGTATGAAAAGAAGGATGGTTGAACAGAATAGAGCAGGAACCAGCCAGAAAGTTGTTCCGTTGCGGCGTTACTTGTGTCCCTGGAGCCATTTATAGGATGTTCCATGTGTCACAACTCGCTGGACCGGCTCATTTGCTGCATTTTGAAAGAATATCATCCCCCATGGGCCCCATGCAGGGGGTGCCTTCATTTGCCATGTAGCATTTTCCAGACATATATGTGTTCTGTCCGGAACATGAAGCTGACAACGCCCTTAAACGAGCCCAGTTGCTAAGGCTGGCTTTCCTCTTCTGGCAGAAGTACCCGGACTATCCAAAACGCTTGCCTGAGCCGTGCTCACGAGACTGACCTTAGCCCCGGTGCTTCCGGGCGACTATAGTAGCTGGTTGAAACCATTGCCAAAGCAAAGAGAAAAGCAAAAGGAGTATTCAAGCGGTAACCTGCTGAACTAAGAAGAGAATCCAACTGGCAACCACCAAACTAATAGGTCACTCCTGACTGGAAACCTGAGCCTGAAAATAAAATCCAACTAATCTACTAAGCTAAGAGAATCCAATAACTGCGATAATTGATGACCTACTATGGTGGCTAGGAGTCCCAGTGAGGTCACAAAGGTTGGCACACTGGATCGAGCAGAGGAAAAGATGCGCGGCCGAGTCTGGATTTAACTTATTTCAGGATTGCTCCGAGCCGTTTCCAAATGATTCTTGAAAAATAAAGGTAGAACATTGGTCCACGAGTTGTGTGTTGGTCTAAAGTTGAAACCAAAGGAACAACCGAGGCCAGTTTTTGGGCTACTTCAAGTATTCGGATGCGAATTGTCGACCCTTGCGACAAATTCTAGAATACCTCCAGGTCCGACTTTTTGTTGGCTTCTCCATGCGCCCTCGAAATGGTCGTCCAAGTCTCCTCTTGTCCCTTTAAACAACCCCCAAGGTACCCTACAAGAAAGACACATTTGGAGCACGGCCTTTGCATCTTGGCATTGGCTGATTTCTTTGAGCGGGATTTGGGGCATCCCCCTGGTGAGAAGGTCATGGGACGAAAGGCCACCAGTTGACCATCATTGTACGGGTTTCACGGGCAAAAAGAGTTTTCGTTATGGCACGCTTGTTTATGGTCTTTCGAACATGGGCATGTTACTGATTCTCTTGGTTTCCTCAAGCCTTGCAAAAAAGGAGGCTCCCTACCTTAGGCCCCCTAAGAGGGTTAGCCTTGCCATTGCTTACATTGGATTTTGCACAGGGTGAGTGAACCCCCAGGAAAAAAACCCTTGAACGAAGTTTGGGGGTTCATGAACCATTCACCATCAAAGGTTGTTGGTTAGCTTAGTCAGAAATCGATGGGTTCCACTGGGTGGATGGACGATTTCCTGCACCACCTAAGAAGCCCTGGACTGATGATTCTCCGATACACATCAACACACGCAGGTTTCTCATGGTTTCAGAGTGGCGCGAAATGGATTTCGTCCAATTGGGGTTAATCATTGAATAATGGGTATAATATCCATGTTTGAATAATGGGAATAATTGAATAATTGCATAATGGGTATAATATCCATTTTTATTTATTTATTTATGTTGCCATCTTTGTCTACGGCATCACCCTGCGCCTTGGCCGCTCACCTGAGGCGCTGCACAGTGTGGCCGGGGGCACTGGCTCCGGCCTGGGCTCTTGCATGCTACGTGCCGCCCGGCAGCCCAGGCAGCCCGGCCACACCAGCGACGGCGACACCCATCCGGGGAAGCGAAACATGTGTGTCGGATTTGAGGGTACCCCCTTTTTGGTCGGTTTTATGTTTTACGGGGAGCCCAAAAGGAACGCCGAAGCCACTTTGGGGGTCGTTTTTCCTACAGAAAGACGAGCCGCTCATACGATCCGGTCCTTGACGGGGATACCGGGATGACGCCTTGTGTCTTGGTCAGAGTGCAGATTCAAATTTGGAGCCTGGAACCAGAATCCATTGCAACTCAATCTTGGGCACACGCTGTTCCCAATCCCGAAGGACCATGTTCCATGAAGCGGGTGTCTTCATAGGACATGATTGATTGGGGATTCCCATCATGTGGAATCTTTAAGTTGTTGTTTCAGGTTCCCGCGGTGGCGTTCCCTGTTTGTACTCCAAGTGTCTGAGCTCTAGAAGCAGCAAACTACCACCGGCTCGCGGCTCGCCCTCTGCTGGCTTCCTCACACCTCGATCAGCGCCTGCTCTCTTGCCACAGCATCTGCAATGCCCACCTTCCAACTCTATGGGTTCGACGCTGTCTGTATCCACTCTCTTTATCTCTCTTCGCTTGATCTTCGTCTTCTCTTTTTCCCTCTTTATCTTTCGCTTCGTACTTATCTGTGCAGTTATATTGATTTTTCGTTATATTGGTTTTATCTCTAGCTATCTGTCTGTCTGGCTGGCTGGCTGTCTGTCTGGCTGGCTGTTTGTCTGTCTGTCTGTCTGTCCGTTCGTCCGTCCGTCTGTCCGTCCGTCTGTCCGTCTGTCTGTCTGTCTGTCTGTCTGTCTGTCTGTCTGTCTGTCTGTCTGTCTGTCTCTCTCTCTCTCTCTCTATCTTATCTTATCTTATCTTCTTATATCTTATCTGATCTATGGTATCTATCTTATCTATCTTATATATATATATATGTTATAATAACTATTATTATCTGTCTTTCAATCTATCTAATCTAATCTAATCTAATCTAAAAATCCAGTCAGCCATCCAGCCAGCCATCCAGCCAGCCATCGCCAGCCATCCATCCATCCTTCCTTTCTTGCTTCCTTCCTTCCTTCCTTCCCTCCTTCCCTCCTTCCTTCCCTCCTTCCTTCCCTCCTTTCTTCCCTCCTTCCTTCCTTCCTTCCTTCCTTCCTTCCTTCCTTCCTTCCTTCCTTCCTTCCTTCCTTCCTTCCTTCCTTCCTTCCTTCCTTCCTTCCTCCTTCCTGCCTTCCTGCCTTCCTGCCTTCCTGCCTTGCTTCCTTGCTTCCTTGCTTCCTTCCATCTTCTTATATTGCCTTCTCTTATCTCATTGTATCAACATGGCAAGAAATATAGACCCACATGTTGCCGCAGGGGCCAACTGGTTGTGTCAAAATATGGATGTGAACCCCAAAAATTGAGTCGTTTGCTTTTGGTTCCCGTGTACCCCGAAACCCACATGTTGCAAACAGACCCCCAAAGTTATGACATTTTTGTCCAGCAGAGTCTCGCGTTTTGATCGATTCAGGTTCGAGACACTTTCCCTTCATCAGTGCTGTCGTCGGTGTCAGTGTGGCCATTCGAGGGTGGCGAGGCGCTCGGAAGGGATACGACGGAGGGTGGAGCTTTGGCAAATTCGCAGTTATGTCCAATTCTACGCGGATGTCTGAAGTTGGTGCAATCTCCAAAATGGGCAACATCGGTGGTGTTCGTTTTTGGTTCCAATCAGCCAACAAGACACCCATATGTTGTCTTCTATGAACGTGTTTCTCAATGGAGGTGTTCGTGAATCCTACTATTAATAGCCTTGTTTCGTCCTATTCAATATGCGTGCTGCTTGCAAGGAATTTATCACAGGATGCGGCATTGCCCGAAAGAGAGGTGTAGCTTGTGTGCAAATGGACCGTATGCTATTGGCACTGCAGTGCGCCGAATGAGATCTGGGAAAAACAAATCGGTTTTGGAGGTAGAAAGATGGGAATCACACTTTGGCTCACATGGTGCATGTGCAGCTTCTTTGCTTAGCAGGTCAGTGTGCAGTGCTACAACGCAGCTCTGTCGTGATCCTAGATTCAGATATCGCTTCTGCCAGTCGGGGTTGCCGATTCACTGGATTGAGGACTTTGGGCAGCATCTATGAGCACACAGCTGCCTCCTGAGCATGCCGTCCATTCACAGAGACGCTGGGAAAGACCACCGGCAAATCGACAGGGGTTTACATATCCACTTTGTTGTTTTTTTGTAACTGAGGGAGTTTCCCATTCCACTTGATCTGGATGTGAACCGTTTGAAGGACATTTTAGAGAGGGATGTGATTAGTTGGGTCCTTTCCACGTGCTAAGTCTAAGCTGTTGGATATTATGTTTGGTTCGAAACACGCGAGGATATGGCCGTGGTCTGCGAGAACCAGCGGTACCTGGACCTTTGCCGCGTGCTGCGGGGCCCTCACCCGACGTCGGGGGTTGTGGCTGGTGGGTTGGGAGGTTCCTTTGGATGTTTGTGACGGCTGAGTTCGCTTGTGTGTGTTTGTGTTGTTTGTTTTGTTTTGATTTCCCTAAATCCCTTAAACCAGGGTGTGTGTGTGTGTGTGTTTTTTGTTTGTTTTGATTTCCCTTAAGCCAGGGTAGGTGGGAATGACGGGTTCATGGTTTCCCTTCAACGGGTCCGGCGGGAACAGTGCAGAAGTTCTCGTCAAGGCCTTCCAAAGGCATCACAGTTGCACTTTCAGTCCCACACCCTATGGGTGTGTCTTTTTTTGGTTTCAAAGGAATCAGCCAAAAGGAATCACACCAATTTTTCTTGGGGGGGGGTGTTTGTGTGTTTTTTGTCCAGCTCATGTGGTTGTTTTGCCAGCCAAAGTCAACTCCGTTGCCGTTTTCGGAAAGCCCTTAAAGCAGAACCCTCCCACGGCGTCGGACCATGGTTTGGGTCTTCTCTGAAAGGGATGACAAAACAAGGGCCGGTTGAGATATGGTACGCACCGAATCGTTTGTTTAATCATCAGAGAACAGGGGATCACCCAAAATCCATCGCCAACCGGGCACGCCTGAATATTCACATCTTCACAGCTCATGTTGCTGCGCTTGAGGGTGTCCGGGCCCATGAAGGAAGAGCCATTTCAACAACCCTTGCTGGTTGATTGCTCTTTTCTCCGGAGTCATTCCCAACCATAGAGTTAAAGTGTGGGTCAGCCCAAAGGGTCTGTCTTAAAATAGAAAAAGCAACTAATCCTTATTCCTGGCAAGCAGTGATTTCGCTTGTTGCTCCCGGCCGCGCAGGCTGGGGCAGGAGCGTCCATCTTTGGACTCTCTGAACCACGCCATCTGCCGGAACTTGGCCTTTGACTCGGCATGTGACTTGCGCCGGTCCAGATTTCTTGTTTGAAATGTGGGGGGTGGCCTATTTCAAGGCAGGCCACCTTGACGAGGGCTCCCAGTTGCTGAAAGATGATGAAACCCCGTGACTTCCAGTTGTCTTTTGGCCTATTGGCTTTGCATGATGATTTACAGGATACATCAAACATGAAGATGCTTTAAAGGTACTACATGATGTTTTTTTTTTTTTGTTTTTTTTTTTTTTTTATGTGCTTCTTGTTGTCCTGTGAAGGATACTTTGACGCCTCCGGCTCAGACCGCCGACATTACAGGCCTGCTTTCTTTGTATTTTCCTTTTGGAAACTGTCCATTGCAATCTTTCCTTTGGAATTGTCCCATTGGAGTTCTCCCTAAGGCATTGTCCCTTTGTTTTTTTCCCTTTGGAATTTGCTCTTGTCTTTTTGTGGTTTTCCCTTTGGTATTTTCCCATTGGAATTTTCCTTCAGGGCTGTTCCCTGTGACATGTTTCCCAGAGTTCTCCATTGGAATTGTCCCTTTGGAGTTTTCCCTTTGGACATTTCCCATTGTAATTCTCCCTTCGGGATTTTCCAATTTGTTTGTTTGTTGTTTGGGGGGGTTCTCTACCATTCGAATTTTCCCCCACTGCATTGTTCCTGTGGAATTTCCCCTGCGGAATTGTCTCATTGGAATTGTCCCGTTGGAACTTTGGAATTGTCCTAGTGGACTTTTCGTTTTGGAGTTCTCTCTCTCCCAGTAGAATTTCTCCACTGGACTTTTCCCTTTGGAATTGTCCCTTTGGACTTTTCCCTTGGGAATGTTCCCTTTGTAAATCTGAACGGCTTACAATCTCAAAATATTATTGGCTTAACTGGTGAACATCTTGCTGGCTTCAGGTCTGAGAATAGTAATGGCTTCTTGAAATCCTAATGGGTCCCTAGAATATTGATGGAGTAACATCTTAAGATATTAGTGGCTGAACGCGTGAAAGTATTCATGGCTTCCGGTCTTAACATCTCAGATTGCTAGCTCTTAAGGGCTTCAAGTCGTAGAATCGTCATGGCTTAGAATCGTACTGGCGTAAAAAATCTAAAAGCTGTACTGCAAGAGTCTGAAGTTCTGAGCGTCCTCAAGGAAAACCTCGGAACGATTCCCGGTTCCGCGCGCCTTGCGGACTGAGATGCATCCGCCCAATGGCTACTCTGATGGCCATCTTCTCCAGCAAGCGCTTATGGCTGAGCTGGAAACCTGAAAATCCTATTGAAGCTCCGAACATCTTCATGGCGTACAATTTTCAGACCCTCAGTGGCTTAACGTGATATCATTTTAATGGCCGAAAGTCTGAGAATTGTAATGGCTTACAATCTTGAAATCTGACCGGCTTCAAACCTTAGAATCTTAATGGAGCAAGCTCTTAACATCTCAGTGGCCTTTCGTGTTAAACATTTCACGGCTTAAAGTCTTAACATCTCAATGGCTTTAAATCTTCAAAACTTAGTGACTACACATATTATATTCCTGATGGCTTACAATCTTGAAATCTTGCTGGCTTTACACCAACCATATTAATGGATTAACATCTGGACATCGTAATAGTTGAACATGTTGCATGCCACAAGACACAAATAGGGACCTTTCATTTGACCCTCTGTGCCCGTTATTTCCAGACAATGCCAGATAATGCCAGCGCTTCTGGTAATGCAGACATGGAAACAAACAACTGCCTGCTTTTCAGGAACCGGGTCTTCGAAACCAGCAGGATGATTTGACTGGTCCGGATGTATCGTTGGAATCGTGTTGCAGGTGCGCGTCATGATGCCATGCAAGTCAGTGTGCAGCTCTCAGTGCGTTGGATCGACTCGGAATTCCTCCAAGTGCAACACCGCGTGTGGTGGGACCATTCATTTCTGGATGAGTTGATGCGTGTCACAACTGGGGACACCGGCCAGTGGTTCGCGGTGCACATTTTCCCAGAGTGTGGTCAGGGTCACCTGAAAACTAAGTTGTTCCAAACCCAATCCCCAATAATTAGCGAATTGCGGATTAAGCGGATTATGCGGTTTGGGGATTAGATCATGCGGCTTGCTGATTGCAGATTATGGGTTGCGTGGATTTCCGATGCTCCAGCACGAGGTGTTTACCCACAATTTGCAGCGCGGATTATGGAAGATTGCCACCCAGAACAAAGATTCAGCAGATTACGGATTGTGATCAGGCCCCCGTGCGAGCATGCTAGGAAAATCAACAGGTCCGGGTACATCACGGAAAGTAGTACATACACTATGGCCAACAGAGGCGGAACCTGCACGGCTCCGGGTCTCCTCTACTGCAGCTGGCCGGCCACCTCTGCGCGCACCCGCTGGGACGCCCAAAGGCGGCCAACTCCGCTTGGCTTTCAATCCAGGGGCCTCAAAAGGACCGACCTTGGAACGTCAGACCTTCCGCTCAACGGTTTGGTGGGGGTTCCCCTGTTAAGGGAGGAAACCAAAGGTAAGGTACTCCAGGGTGAGTTGGTTGGAAAAGGGATTTCCTGTGGGTGAGGAAAGGCGACTCAAAACCCAAATTGGGGGGGAAGTGCCATCCACTTGTATCCAAATGTGGCAACCCAACAAATAGATGGTTTGCCTGTGGTTCCTTTGAAGGCAGCCCTAAGCAGGGTACCCTCAAAAAAGACACACATTACATGAAGGGAAGGAAGACACACTGATCTGTGTGCCTGTTTGGTGTTTGTTTTATTTGTTTCCCCCTTGTTCAAGCAAGCAGTTCTTTTGCCCCAAAAGCAGAGTCCGTCCCTAGGAAATTAATGGATAGTTGCTTTGTTTGCCGATTTTGTGCGTGTGTGTGTTGCTTCAGGGACCCCTCAACTTTGAACATTCAAATGGATGCGTCAAGTTGCGCAAGCGTTGGGTGCAGGTGCGGAGAGGTCCGACTTTCTGTTCAAGGGGGGTTGTCAAAGGCCAGCCCGCGGACCATGAAGGGTTTTGGGGTTGGTGTCGTGATTCGAAACTTATGGCACCAACTTTTCCATTGGGAAGAATGAATCTCGAGGGGCCCCTTGGCTTCTGCACGGGATTTGCCCGGGATGCCCTCGACGGAGGCGTTGAGATTTTGGTATAGAAACATGAATTCAGGAGTCCAACTGCCAAGCCCCTGTCGGCCTCGGAAACAAGCGAAAAAGGTTCTGTGAATCGAGGGGCTGTCAAAATGTTGTGTTTGTGTGTTCTTTCTGATGTTTTTTGTAGATGGGGTTGTCAAAATGCTGACCCTTAGTCGGGATGTCAATCAACCACCAACAAGGAGTCTTCTTCGTTTCGCATATGGATGTCTTCTCAAGAAAAGGGAACTCCGTGCCAAGCATGGTTGGTTTTTTGGATCCAAAAAGGGGGCTCGGTTTTGCTGGCTTGAATCATCGCCTTGTCGCGCATGGAAGGTACCCAAATGAGCCATTGAAAATCCGGATTGCAAGGTAGGGGGCAGTTCCAGCAAATGGATCTTTTTCATTCAGGATTTGCCCTTATTAAATGGTCATACAGTCATACATCTAATTAAATTATGTCCACCAAAGAACACGTGGTTCATAAACATCTGGGGTCACGCATGTAGTTGTTGTTTCCATATACCAAGATGTCATTTTGGGTATTCCATTTTTCGAGCCCAGCCAAGGGTCCCCCACCCCTGACGGATCATTTCGTCTCAAGGCTCTACCGCCTTGCGACAGTGCAGGGGGCCGCAGAGAGCATCAACCAATTTGGTTGCTTTGCATTGATTGGTCCATTGTGAACGTCTTGAAGGATGCTCAAAGTCTCTTCTGTTTCTCTTATTGTTTTGTTTTTTTGGGGGGCGGGGGAAGGGGGTTTCGCTGTAAACCATTTGGAGGGGAAGTTTGAGAATGTCATGCGGGCATGGTTCTTGAGGGGTCCCACTTTTAAGAGTGTAGATGTGTCCTTGACGATTTATTCACCGAACAAGGTGAACAGGAAAACCCTACCGAACTTTCAGAGCAGGTTCTTCTAAGTTACCTATTCGCTTGCACCTAAGCGAAAGGACATGTCTGATTGGCAAGGGGAAGGGGGAAGAGCTCCACCCCCTCAAACCAAAGGGGATGACCCCTTAAGCAAAGCTCCATTTACGACCCCCCTCAAACATGGAACGGGCCTTAAGAAAAGCTCTTGAACATTCCCTTTTGTCGGGAAGACTCATGGAATTGGGACCCCACGTTCCCCTTAAGTTAGCGGAGCTGACCGCCACCCCTGGGAACGCGTTTCAGGCGCGCTCTGCCGCAGATGGTGCAGGGCGCAGAGGTGCGGGCTCTCGGGGGAAGCCCGCCAGAGCTCACTCAGGATGAAGCGTAGGTGTGGCAGGATTGCCCTTTCAAGGATTCACATGGCTGTGGGTCAAAACCAATGGTGCCATTTTGGGGTAGGTGCACCACCCATTTTCGCCTATTTTAGTGGGGATTGGGATGTTCACTGGGGGTACGAGATCTTGACCCATGGCCACATAGTTTTGGCTCGACCATTTTTTCCGGATATGTTCAGGGCTTGATCATGCCGCGCTTGAGATGGCTTAGACCCCTTTGAGGGGGGCCCCTGGTTGTGTTCAAAAGGAAGCCAACTTGTTTTTTAGTTTCCCTTTTCCAGAAGCAGCGAGTCTTCTTGGCAAGGTCCCCTTGAAGCGACCCGACAAAAAACAATGCTTGCATTGGCGAGGCCTTCACATCTGACTCCTGGACGGCTCTACAGAGGTTGGCCGGAAGCTCGCGAGCCACAAAGTTTGTTTTCGTTTTGAATGTGGGCGCCTTCTTTTGGTAGTAACATATACTTTTGGTTTGTTTCTTTTGGTTTGTTTGAAGGGGAAACCGAAAAGGAAACCAACCATGTTTTTTGGGGTCCCCGAACAAAATGAGATGACACACCTACTTTTTGAGACTGGCAGTCGAAGTAGTGTTGGCTCCCAATCGCAAGGCAATTGCTGAACCTCAGCGAAACGGGCTCGTCAGTTGATCGGCCTGGAGCCTGGAATCGTCAGCCCTCTGAACTATCGGCCACGAGAATGCCCATGGCAGCCGAGAACGAGGGATCATGAGGGATCCGTTTTTGTTGGCTGGTGTTCTTGCAGTATCCTGCATGCCTCCCAGATTCGGGCTCCGCATACTATGGTCCAAATACCTGATTTCTCGAGGTTTTCAAGCGACTCCTAGAGGTTGTGGGATGTCTCAAGCATAATGTATCCTTTATCGGTAATGTCCAAAGTGGGGCCCTTTGCCAAATGACATCCGAAAAGGGGGTCCCTGGTTTGCACATTGAGTTCTTCACCTCCCAAACTGTTGGTTCCCCCTTCGCCTTTCCTGTGGCCGAAGGACAGACCAAGTTTCCCATGAGCCAACATTGAAGCTTAGAAATCGATCCGACCCCGGATTTATTTTTGGCCATGTGGTGCACTGCCAAGGCCATCCGGCCAGGAGGCCGTGGGCTTTGCTTGTGTGTGTGCGGACTTGGGGAATGAGTTGGAACCGAACTGAACCATCTCGAATCTGCGAGGAGGTTTTCACTGACGGCCATCCCCTCCAAAAGCGGACACACCGAATTCGGCTCAAGGCTGAAAAAGGTTACCCTCGAACACGCCTTCCCTTTTGATTCGATAGGTGAAGGGCCGCTGCCGCACAGTGTCCGCCGGGCTCCAAGGGAGCTCACTTTACCCGATCATTTGGGAGGGACATGGAGGGCTCACGAAGTTCCCATGGAAAAGGACAGCGGACTCACTCATTTTCAGATGTCCTTTAGGGGGAAAGAAGTAACCTTGGCTCATGCGGGTTTGCGTCTGTGGGCCTTGGATATCCTTGGATTAAAGTTGGGGCTCAGTGCAAATAATGTAGAGATCTGTCTAACAATAACCTTATCACATCCCCACCCCCCTAGGGTAACATATATATATATATATGTATGTATGTATGTATGTATGTATGTATGTATGTATGTATGTATGTATGTATGTATGTATGTATGTATGTAATGTATGTATGTATGTATGTATGTATGTATGTATGTATGTATGTATGTATGTATGTATGTATGTATGTATGTATGTATGTATGTATGTATGTATGTATGTATGTATGTATGTATGTATGTATGTATGTATGTATGTATGTATGTATGTATGTATGTATGTATGTATGTATGTATGTATGTATGTATGTATGTATGTATGTATGTATGTATGTATGTATGTATGTATGTATGTATGTATGTATGTATGTATGTATGTATGTATGTATGTATGTATGTATGTATGTATGTATGTATGTATGTATGTATGTATGTATGTATGTATGTATGTATGTATGTATGTATGTATGTATGTATGTATGTATGTATGTATGTATGTATGTATGTATGTATGTATGTATGTATGTATGTATGTATGTATGTATGTATGTATGTATGTATGTATGTATGTATGTATGTATGTATGTATGTATGTATGTATGTATGTATGTATGTATGTATGTATGTATGTATGTATGTATGTATGTATGTATGTATGTATGTATGTATGTATGTATGTATGTATGTATGTATGTATGTATGTATGTATGTATGTATGTATGTATGTATGTATGTATGTATGTATGTATGTATGTATGTATGTATGTATGTATGTATGTATGTATGTAATGTATGTATGTATGTATGTATGTATGTATGTATGTATGTATGTATGTATGTATGTATGTATGTATGTATGTATGTATGTATGTATGTATGTATGTATGTATGTATGTATGTATGTATGTATGTATGTATGTATGTATGTATGTATGTATGTATGTATGTATGTATGTATGTATGTATGTATGTATTGTATGTATGTATGTATGTATGTATGTATGTATGTATGTATGTATGTATGTATGTATGTATGTATGTATGTATGTATGTATGTATGTATGTATGTATGTATGTATGTATGTATGTATGTATGTATGTATGTATGTATGTATGTATGTATGTATGTATGTATGTATGTATGTATGTATGTATGTATGTATGTATGTATGTATGTATGTATGTATGTATGTATGTATGTATGTATGTATGTATGTATGTATGTATGTATGTATGTATGTATGTATGTATGTATGTATGTATGTATGTATGTATGTATGTATGTATGTATGTATGTATGTATGTATGTATGTATGTATGTATGTATGTATGTAATGTATGTTATGTATGTATGTATGTATGTATGTATGTATGTATGTATGTATGTATGTATGTATGTATGTATGTATGTATGTATGTATGTATGTATGTATGTATGTATGTATGTATGTATGTATGTATGTATGTATGTATGTATGTATGTATGTATGTATGTATGTATGTAATGTATGTATGTATGTATGTATGTATGTATGTATGTATGTATGTATGTATGTATGTATGTATGTATGTATGTATGTATGTAATGTATGTATGTATGTATGTATGTATGTATGTATGTATGTATGTATGTATGTATGTATGTATGTATGTATGTATGTATGTATGTATGTATGTATGTATGTATGTATGTATGTATGTATGTATGTATGTATGTATGTATGTATGTATGTATGTATGTATGTATGTATGTATGTATGTATGTATGTATGTATGTATGTATGTATGTATGTATGTATGTATGTATGTATGTATGTATGTATGTATGTATGTATGTATGTATGTATGTATGTATGTATGTATGTATGTATGTATGTATGTATGTATGTATGTATGTATGTATGTATGTATGTATGTATGTATGTATGTATGTATGTATGTATGTATGTATGTATGTATGTATGTATGTATGTATGTATGTATGTATGTATGTATGTATGTATGTATGTATGTATGTATGTATGTATGTATGTATGTATGTATGTATGTATGTATGTATGTATGTATGTATGTATGTATGTATGTATGTATGTATGTATGTATGTATGTATGTATGTATGTATGTATGTATGTATGTATGTATGTATGTATGTATGTATGTATGTATGTATGTATGTATGTATGTATGTATGTATGTATGTATGTATGTATGTATGTATGTATGTATGTATGTATGTATGTATGTATGTATGTATGTATGTATGTATGTATGTATGTATGTATGTATGTATGTATGTATGTATGTAATGTATGTATGTATGTAAATGTATGTATGTATGTATGTATGTATGTATGTATGTATGTATGTATGTATGTATGTATGTATGTATGTATGTATGTATGTATGTATGTATGTATGTATGTATGTATGTATGTATGTATGTATGTATGTATGTATGTATGTATGTATGTATGTATGTATGTATGTATGTATGTATGTATGTATGTATGTATGTATGTATGTATGTATGTAATGTATGTATGTATGTATGTATGTATGTATGTATGTATGTATGTATGTATGTATGTATGTATGTATGTATGTATGTATGTATGTATGTATGTATGTATGTATGTATGTATGTATGTATGTATGTATGTATGTATGTATGTATGTATGTATGTATGTATGTATGTATGTATGTATGTATGTATGTATGTATGTAATGTATGTATGTATGTATGTATGTAATGTATGTATATATATACATATATACACATATCAAATTTATTAAAACACCTGGTCCCAACAAATGGGTAAGAATTGTATACCTCAAAAATGGCTGAGCATAGATGTCCAGGTACCCTTTCTACCTTGCATGAAAGGGAAGCCACCAGAAAGGGATTGACTTTAATCTTTGGTTGGCCCTATTTTGGCACATGCCATAGACCAGAGAGCATCCCTTGTTTCCAGTCTGTGACTCTAATTTGTGCAGATTCACCTGCTGAAATGTCGCGAAGGGTGTCAACAGGGGAGGTGTGAGTTGCTGGCGCTTGAGGGCTGGGGCTCAACAACAAGGCCCTTCGATTGACGCGGGAGATGGGGAGATTTTTGGGTCATTCCCAGCAAGAAATGCCGATGTGGAGTAGGTACCCCTAGGTCCTTGACTCCCTTGTGACGATAGGGATGACCCGATGACCCCGCGAGCGGCTTGTGGGTGAGCATCAGCAAGCCCTTGGGGTCATTCATCCTGAAGGTATCTATATGGGTAGCTCCTATTTGGTGGTTTTAAAGGGAAACCACTGCAAAAGCCACCATTTTGAGGGAAGGACACACCCATATACGAACATGTCTAGAGTCACTCGCCGACCTGCCAGGCTGCCGCATTCCTCTGGGGAGATGGTGCCTCCGAAGCGTCCTTGGACCGACACGTTTTCGAGGGGGTGCTAAATCGGGCAGGTACAAACCATCTTTCCTTCAGCCTACTGGTACTTCTTCTTGATCAAGCAGGACACATCAAATGAGATTCAATTGGTGTGGACAGTTTTTATTGCATGTCTTGTAGCTCACCGCAAACGCAAAGGGCTGACGCTGCCGTTCGGACTTTGTCCGACTCTTTGAAAAAAGGTTTCCACGGCACTCACCAGAGGTTTCCTTCAAAAGGCGCAGATTTGGGTAGTACGGCCCCTTTGTCGGGTGGTTTCCCTCTTTAATCACTTACCCAAAGAAGGTGCCCTTCCCACTGGTTGTTTGGGTATTCATTTTGGAATGATCAAACATGGAGGTGTCTTTGTTTGAGGGGAACCAAGCGGAAACCAACCTTTTTGTTTTTGGAGGGGTCCCCAAGAACAAGAGACACCCACATGGCAGTCCCATTGCCACTTCGGCCCCCCACCAGGACCCTTGGCGCAAACTGCCACTGTGGCAGCACTCCCTCGACAGCGTGCAGGCGGGGTGCACAGCAAAGAAGGGCCCTCTTGACTTTTAAGCGTCAATGAGCGTGTTTTAGGGGAACCCCCCAAAATGGTTGCTTTTCTTTTGGTGTCCCCTCAAAGACCACCAAGAAGGCGTACAAACAGACCTCCACCAAATTCAGAGATTCCCTTAAAGCCCCAAAGAACATTGAAAAGTGTATCCTGAAAAGAAAGAACGCCAACCCAATTTGGACTGCGGAAGCCCCTAGCCCTGGGGTGCAAGCCCCACTAAAAGTCGAATAGAGAAATAATCAATGGTCGAAATAGGGCATATATAATCTATGTCCCTTGTATACAAGGCTTATATATACATATTATATATAGAAAAATATATACACCCACTCAAGCCCACTACAACTCCCATGGTTATATAAGCCCCATGGATCGAATCCCTGCGCGAGGGTTCAGCGGTGCATTCACCACATATCGCTCAACGTGTCTGACCCTAGGTGGGGAACAACCCTAGGTGCATGGCTCTTAGGGGCAGCCCTCTATGCAAGACAATCTTAGAAAGGCCAACCGTTTCCCACCATCCTTCTGCGCCTGTCTCCTCTATTTTGTCGTCCTCCCGGTTGGTTGGGAGGACATTGCGACACCCCCTCCCTCCCTCCCTTCCTCCCTTCCTCCCTCCCTCCCTCCCAATGGCCCTCCAAAATGGTGGTCAAAGAGAATTCCCCCCAAAGAAAAACTTTGAGAACTCAAAAGCGCAAACTACGATAACAATTCACTGCTCGCCTCTCAATTCGGTGTCCGGTCGGCAGCTGTGTCCGACCAACACACCAGGGATGCGCGGAACCAAGCAAACACAGTGCAGTGCTTCCAGCTAACGCTGTCGTAGGTAAGCAGTGAGCAGGGTCCTTTTGCTCTGGCTGGTTTCCTGGTTATTTGCTATAGTGGCAACTGGAAGCAGTGGAAAAAGCCAAACTCAAGAACAAAAACACGAGGAAAGGACGGGAGTACAGAGCTGTAAAGGTATCCTCTAGTAAGAAAACTTAAATCATGGCAGCGTAAGCTGGCTATACCAAGAGCCGAGTCATGCGTTGGGCCTGAGCGTGCGTCAGCCTGATCCAGACCCATTTGGGCGTGTCTTCTTTTGATAGTACCCCTTGTTGATTGGTTTTAAAGGAAACCAAACATTTTTTGGGAGTCCCCTAACAGAAAAGACAAACCCATTTTGGGTCAATGCTTGACAGGTCGGTGTTTCGTCTGCTTGCGGCTCCTTCCCTCACGCTGCGTGTTTCTTGGCCTTTGCAACTTCAGCGGAAAAGTCACAACCGAATCCTGGTAAGGTAAGGCGCACAACGGTACCCAAAAGCGCACCAGCCCTGAAGTTCCTCGCAGGTCCATGCTGACACGCACCAGGTTGGCAGCCCAGCAGAAAGAGACGGAGGGGATAGGTTCAGCCACATTCCGCGGAGCCTGCGTATTTGGTTTATTGTCTCATGTATATATATATATGGAGATTCGTAGTCTACCCTTGGTTCCAGGTGGCCTTTGGCGCGAAGCAGATGGAAGCAGCAAAAACACGAGGATTTGGGCAAAATGCCTTGTTTTGCAGGTGGTGCTTCCAGGTGGCCTTTGTTTGAACCCCGGATCGATTTATGTGGCTTCGCCTTGTTCAAACCATGTGGTTGCCACATGAAGAGGTGTTGCCACATAAAGAGCCCTGTGCGGACAAACAGCCGGCGCTGTTTAGTCCAGGTGCCAGTGGCACTGCATTTGAAGTCACAATCACCATGTGGCAACACCTGCGCACGCGTTCAAACCACATGTTAGCGAGCTGAGGTTGGAGGCCTGGAGCGGAGCCTGGGCTTTCTCAGCAACTGCCAAGCCGTGGTGCCGGGCGTCTCAGACCGGACAAAAAAAAAGAAGAACCCGGCCTGGTTGGAGCCGTTTGGGGTGCTTCCCGGGTTTTTGGCATGGTTTTAGATTTTAGGTTAGTTGGGTCTGTCCATTTTAAGTAGGGGGCTTCAAAAACTGTCACATGTTTTTTTGCTACCATACCAAGGGTTGGACAGGATGTCTGTTTGAAGGTTGGACCCCCCCCCATAATTGTGGTTTTCCTTTTGGTTTCTCTCCAAATCCACACCAAAAAAGGGTGCCCTCAAAAACAGAGACTCCCGTTGGGGCCCCCCGTTGACTCGCCCTCTGAGTTCCTGGACATATGTTGTGGGACCGTTTTAGTGGTAAACAGAAGGTGTACACTTGTTTGTTCTTGAGAAGAGGGTCGAACACTGCCAAACCGGAGAAAGACAGGAGTCTTGTTTCCCCGCTGTCACCAGGAGAGCGCTTGCCGCTCTCTAACTTGTCCATTTAGAGCCTGTGACCCAATTCAAGTGCAAGTGGTTCAAGAGTCACGTCCCACGATCCGCCAAAGCAGCGTCTTGGATTCTGAGAAATTTCCCTTGGAGCGTTGTCTGGGTTCCGGATCCCTTCCAGAAAGGTAGCTGATGACCAGCATATGTTATCAGGGGCATCTTTTGAATCGATGGTGTTCTCCTCTTGGTTTCCGATTTATGACCCCGATGTGTTTTGTTTTGGTAGGTAGGGGTTTCCCCTCAATACCAACTTCCAAACAAGGGCATGCCCCGTTGTCCCATGTTCCACCCCGTTTCGTTCAGGCAAAGTTAACTAGTTGCTGTCTGGATCGACAGGCCAGCTTTATGCGGCGCCACTCGTCGAGCCACATCCATGCTGCGCGCTTCGGCCTACCTGCATCAGTGCGCTGCAGCAGCCGAGCCTGCGTTGACAAAGGTATTTGGTTGCGTGGTGTCTTGCGGCTTGGTGCCTTTTAAAGAGAAGTCAAAGAAACGCCGAATCCCATTTTGGGTCCCGATCGAATCCTAAACCAAAGGGAGCATGCCATGCAAGGTTGAGGGGATACCAGCCAACCATGCCATCTTTGGGTTCCACCATTATTAGAGACACACCCACAAGATGTTGAGAGCCATGTGGGTCCCGGCCCCGCTTGCAGCGTTGTGGCTTGCATCACATTTTGGAAAGGCCCATTTGAATGTGTTTTGTGAGTTTGCGTTTCGCGGCTGGTAGTGGGTTGCGCACAAATGAACTCTGTCATGCTTTGAAGGCACAGATCAACACCTTTGTTTGGTCCCCAAAGTGGAAACACATGGGGACAAATCCAGGATAAATTAATGTGATTTTGTGTCCATCCCTTTGTACATGGGTCTTGAACAGGTGCCAGCCTGTCCGGGTGGTTGGCGTGAAAGTCATGGCAGCAGTTTGAGCACCTGCTCTGCGTAGGCGATGCTTCTTTTTTTATTGGAGGGCCGGCATCGGTCAATGTTCACTGTCATGTATGGTGATAAAGGGGATGACTGGGGGGCACACCTGGGGGCATCACATCATGGCCTTGGCTTGGCCTGGGCGAGGTGTGCCTCTCGGTTAGGTACGAGCGCTATGGCTTGAGCCGAGAGGAGATGAGTGAGGCGCTCTCGACTGAGGGTCCGTGAAAGTGATCGAACATCTTGAGGGCTCAAAATGACTGTTGGGGGCGGTTCCCCTTGAAACCACAGTTTGGAGGGTCACTTTGAGGATGTCTTGCTTAAATGGGCTGAGTACAAACCACCCCGACAAAGACCCCCAACAGGCAAATGGGCCGCAGCAGCTCATGAGTGAGAATGTCAAAATCAATCCTTGTCTCAAGCAGTATTCCACCCCACGGATTAGGGATCTCTCCCATTTTGAACAATGCTGACTCTAGGGAGCAAAGTCAGAAACTGAGATCCGTTAAACCTCAAAGAACAGTGTCCCTGCAAATCATGGGGCCAGTTTCCAGGCCAGTTCGTGCTGTGGTGACTTGGAACATCCAAACAGCTATGGCGCTTCAGCCATCCAAGATTGACTAGAGCTTTTCTCAGAATAGGATTCGGTCCCTAAAATGGTTGTTTTCCTTGGGTTTCCTTTAAAGCCACCCAAGAGGTCACATTTTGAGCATGAGCAAGGGAGTGGAGAATGTGTGGGGAAGTAAGCGAGCGACCCAAATAATTTTGGATGTTTACTCTTCGTAACGTGGAACCTCGAGATGTCGGCCCCCCAAGGAGATTTCTCTAACAAAAGATGTGTTTTTGTTGGCCGGGTGCCTGCTGATTTGTCGGAGTGTATTTGGGCCCCGGGGCTTTGCGTTGAAGCCTGTGTTTGTTCTTTTCACAAGACATGCTTCACTCTGACCCAGACGCTCATGGACCCTCCTAGGGAGGGTCCGACCCCTCAGGGGCAGTGGTCGTGAGCCTTTGAGGAGAACTACCCTACACCCTTCGGGGAAGCCTTGGTGTTCTTTGTGCCAAATGGGGCGGCTGTGATGCAAAAATCGATCCTGTCAAGTCGTCCCGGCAGTTGGGAATGTAAGTTGAGGAACCCAAAGGAAAAAGGAACCAACAAAAACAAGGCAACGGAAACCAATCAAAATGGTGGATGCCTAAACGGGAAACGGTTTAGAAGCACATGTCACCGGGGTCCTGAAAAGGGGCCTGCGGAACACGCCGCAGGCCATCCTCCTCACGCTGCAAGTGCAGACTGACTACGAGAAGTTGTCGCTTGCAAAATGAGCTAGTTCAAAGTCAGCTAGCTTTACTAGGCCAGGTGCAAATGCGCCGTCGACCATGTACCAAGCATCAAAAACTGATTCTCGTGCTGTGTGTCTTGCAAGGAAGGCAGTTTGGGAGCATGTGCAGAAGGCTCGCGCCTGCGAGTTTGCCAAATCTGGTTGCCCTCCAAATGGTTACAGCGACATGCACAAGCAGTTGACAGAGCAGGTAAAATCAGAAGCCGCTCTCAGGCGGACAGCATTCAAAGAACATGACTTGGAGTGGCGGACTTGGACAGCGGCAGGCAATCCTTTAGGTCTTCTTGAAGCCAATTAGCAAGGTCCCCCCCAAACCTCCAAACCACCCCAATAATATGTCAAAAGAGGAATTTGGACCCTCCAGAAATGGGGCGGGTTTCCTTTTCGTGTCCATTTCAACAAAAAAGGAGAGAGGAGAAAAGGAGTAGGGTCCCGTAGGGTCCATAAATAGAGTAAGCCCAAAAGATGAAATGAAAGGGCACAGACCTTCACTGTTTCTTGGCATGTCTTTATAGTTTCGTGTTTTGCCATTTGTTTTGTTCTGTTCATGTTTAGTGGGTGGCTGAAAGCAGTTGTCTTTTTGCCCACTCCTTCTGTGACTGCCAACCTTTGGCTCTAGCTTGCGGCGTGCCCGTGGGAAGGCCTAGAAGGGTGTTTGGTGGACATGCACCCGACGCCGAAGTCTGTCGTTCATCAAAGGGCCCCCTATTAAAAGGCAGCCACAGGATCAGCAAGATCTGGGGAGAATGCATTTGTGGAACGTCCTTTGTCAAGGTAGTACCAGGTAACCCGTTGTTTTGTTTTGAAGGGTCAAATAAGTGAGCTAGAAGACGAGACACTGTGAGTCAAGTGAAACAGCCAGGAAGGGCCTCAGCCATGTCCTTTTGGTTGGAAGACTATTTTACAGTCTAGCGCCTCAGGGGGCTTGGAGCAACTTAGTTTAGTGGTAAACCAAACCGCCAACCCGGAAGGGCTTCCGGGGCCAACAAATGAGGCTTTGTTGTTTTTTGAGAAACCCACTTGGGTTTTAAAGGAAAGCCAAAGGAACACAGTGTCGGATGTCCCCTAGAAGACCCACTCAGCTACAGGGAACCGAACCTCATTTTTCCCGTGTCCGCACGGGCAGCAGCACACAGATTCACCCCGAGCCGACAGATGATGCAACCGCAAGGGTGCGAATGGGTTTAGTCTCCTTTGGCTTCCCTCGAGCAACCCTGCCTATTGTTCACAGACCCCACGAAGGTCGCTTTGAGCCCCCCAGACTTGATAAGCTTAATTTGTTTGAGCCCCTTGTTTTTGCTCACGGCGTCCGCAACGACCCCGTGGATTTCTTTGTTTTTTGGACGTTCATCCCTGCGTTCCTGCATCATGGTTCGGGGGGGATGGGTGGGCGGGGGGGGGGGGGTTGGGGTGGGGCATGATAAGCACACCCGCTCAACTTTGGCTCCAGGACCATGGGTCATCATTTTGTTCTCGCTCTTTCTGTTGCGTACGTTCTGCTGCTGCGTGTCGCGTGTGCACCCTGCCCCATTGTTGACTCCTGGTTCCAGGCATTTTGGACGTGTGATCCGTTCTTGTTGGACGCTCGCTTTGAAGTTTTCGCTGGTAGTTTGTCTGATCCTTTCGCGCATTTTGCGGCATCTGTTGGTGCGATATCTGCTCGAAGCCCTTTGTCCTGGTGTCGGTTACCTGCTGCACTGCCGCGTCTTCGCGCTGCCTGGCTCACGCTCTCGCGCGCCCGCTCCCCGCTTACCCCGGCTTTGCGCGTTCTATCCCGACGTTTGTTGGTCATCAACTTCACTTCTGCGCCATCCTCAAGCCAGTGTGGAAAAAGCACGTGCCCAAAACAGTGGCCACTCGTGGTGCGTGTGACAGACGCGCAAACCCACGCCTGGACCAGTACATGTACTCATTTCAGTTTCGCAAAAACTGTAGCAAGCCATTGTGGGATGCTCTGGGAGACCTGTGCAAGAAGTTGCTATGAAAAAAAAGGCGCGGGCAGCCTCAAGAAACGCGCGCGTGTTGGCCAGCAGCGCGAAGTGCTGCTATTCTCAGGCGATTTCGCTCTTTCTTGTCAAAGCCATGGTAAAAATGGAACAAAACAAACATGGTGCGTGTCAACGATGCAACGAAATGTTCATAAAACGCAGGAATTTTGGTAAACGTGCTTGGTCGCCCTGGTCAAAAGCAGCGTGGTCATTAGCAACGCCGTGACCTTGTTTTTGGTTTGATACATTGCCCGAATGGTTTCCAGTTTGATTTGGAGCTTACTTTTGGTGGTTGGTAATGTTTGCAGGTTGGACACATGGGGAACACCACCGCATTAGGCAACACAGGGCTTCTTTTGTAGCTCGACGTGCCCTGGTTTTTTTGTCCATGGGTCGGAATTGGGTCGTTGCCCTTTTTGAAGGGTCGAAGTCGGTTGGTCAAGCTTCCTGTTACGAAGCTTCTCCCGCAACCGGGAGCCGGGCCAATGTGAGAGCCTTCCTTTAACACACGGACTCCTGGGATTGCCAAAGTTGGATTTGCTGGGGACGTGATAACCTTGATGCGGGGAAGCAGGTTTGGCCTTGTTGCTTTGATGTTCCATCTTCCTTTTGGCTGGTTGCACGTTGGAACGTGCTCCATTTATCTATTGCCAAGGAGCCCTTGATGCCCTCCTCCGCCACCGCAACCTCGCCATCCCCAATTCAAGTGGCCCGATCGCTCCATTTCAGGAGGATTTTTGATGGTCAAGGTGAATAGGCGCTATCAGAACCATCACAAGTCCCAAAGGGGTCTTCCATGTTCCCCGGGAGGTTTCACTCCCAGTATTGACGGGGGTACCCCGTGGGTCAACAGTAGAGTTGGGCAAGCAATGCTTCAACAAACAAATGCGACCACACCAAAAGGAGCTTGTTCAGACAATGGTGTTTAAAGCCATGGGTCAAACAAGAGGTTGGCCTCCTGTTTCATTGTCAACATCAGTTGTTGGGCCAAACTTTGATTTTCTGTTGGGGTTGACTCCAAGCCGTGGTCAACATCACAGCTTGGAGGCATCGCCATGGGTGGCACGCATAGCGTTCCAGAGAGGCGGATGATTCGGGCGGTGAGAGCTGCTCGGAACACCCGTAATGAGTGGATTGACCAAAGCAAGCCCAAAACAAGTGGAGGTGGGTCAACATCAATAGTACCATTTTCGGGTAGGTGCACCACCCATTTTAGTCTATTTTAGTGGGGATTGGGATGTTCACTGGGGGTATGGGTTTGACCCATAGCCAAGTCCAGTCAAGTCTTTCTTTTTGCCGCTAAAATGGTCTTCCGGAAAAGCGTGCACATGACACGAACCAACGGATGGCATGGCTTTGGTCTCTCAGATCTGGCTGAAACTAGAAGAGTCAAATGGGAGTTTGCGGAAGCGCAACCAGGTGAACAGCTTGAATCCAATCAGTCCAGATGAGAGCTCGCTGGTTGAACTTCCTAGAACAGACATGTTGGGACCACTCCAGCGGCATATCTTGTTGATTTGAGCCACTCTTCCCTGAACAAATCACATGGGCATGTCGTTCTTTTTGGCGAATTATGGTTGGCTTAGGTTCTTTGAAGGGAAATCAAAAGGACGGCTACCATTTTGATGTCCCCCACATTCATTAACCCCCCTAAGGGTTTAAAGAATTGTCCCAACCCAAACCTTTTGCGACCGACTTTAGATCTCATTCCTGTGATTAATGTCAATCAGCCAAAGGGCCATTAGGATGAGAATGTGGGTGGGAGTGTCGTCTTCTGCGCCCCCTCAACACAAAAACACAAAATGACAGGTTGTCCTTCTGGTTTCCCTTTGGGTACCGGAAGGACGAGACACAATCTCTGCTTCGTGGCACCTCAGCTTTGGGAAGCTTTCGGCTTCGAGACCACCTGCCTAAGAGCAAACCGTTTACCCCGGAAACACAGTGGCCAGCAAGCTTGACCCCAGCTCCCCCCTGTCTTCGCATTTGCCCGCATCGCAAGAGTGATCCACAGTTCCTGTCCTACAATCAGAATGCTTTTTTTGGTGGGATCTCCATCTCCGGCTTTTTGAGCCCGCACTTGTTTCTGCTCCTTGGGCACTATGGGATGTGAACCCTTGCATGGGATTTGTTTTGCATTTCCCTGGGAGCTACGGGCGCCCTTCCTGGGATTTCCCCACCGCTCCGTTCGCTTTTTTGCCGCTTGCCGTCGCGCCATGGCGCGGGCGGCTTTCGTTTGGCTGGCGACCGCCTCGGCCCTGGAGATGGCGCCGCGCTTCGTTCTGGACCTGAAGAAGCCCCCGGAGGAACGCGCCGCGGATCAAGCCGCCCGAGTTCCTGGAGTTCTAGACCAATCAATCTACTCCCCGTGCAGATAAACATGGAAGCCATCACTTGTTTAAGAGCCACTTTTTGTGGGCGGGGGGGAGGGGGGGCAAAAGTAGGCAGGCAGTTTTACCCTAAACCCTAAACCCTAAACCCTAAACCCTAAACACTAAACCCAGGTTCCCCGGAGGATCCCTACATCCTTGTGGACCCCCAGTTTTTGGGTTTCTCAACATACATTGTTTGGGAGTCTTCCGTTCAGAACGGTTCAGCCCGCTTTGTGTAGATGGTAGTGTCGAAGATATCAAGTTAAGGCGGACTCAGATGCGCGAAATTGCGGGGGAAGTACAGCTTCCCTCAAAAAGTAGGGCTTCTGCGAGCCTGCAAAGGATGAATTAATGCCCGAGGGTAGGAACAGATTTCAAGCCTTGTGCTAATGGTAGCAGCCCTGAAAAGGTCACCAAATGGGCCCAGAGTCAAACTAAGCTGTCGCCCCGTTGGTAGAAGGACGTCCTTTTCCACCATGTGTTCAACAAATGGCGGGGTCGGCATGTGTGTTTGTCCCTTTGGTTCCCTTGAAGGGGAATGGCCCGGGGCTCCAAGAAGGGTATGATTGCATGAATTGACAATGTGTATTCATACGTAGGACATCAATTGTTAGGATATGAAATGGCGGACCGCCAGGAAACAGGTCATGTTGTTCCAGGGCTCAAAATGTGTTGGCCCCGTCCTTCTTTCTTTTCGCAGAGGCCGAATGTCTACCTTGTCATAAGGTCTTTAGAGCAACCCTGGTTTAATGCCCGAACGTTCGGAACCAGCGTTGGGATCGGATGGCACTCTGCCCCCGCAGAAAGAGCAACCCTGGTTAGCTTAATCTACAAAAAATCACGGTTTTGAAGTCGGCCTTGGTGGGAAATCAGGCATTATCCCTTTGGACATCTGCCATGTGGACCCTGGAGTGCACCTTCAACCATGAGGGTCTGTAAAACACCCCTGTGTGCTTGCAATGAGCAATGCTTATCTGCGTTTTAGTAGGATTTCCAGGGTCCAAGTTTCTAAAACTTTGACAGCTGTCTTTGAGTCAACCCCGCTTTCGGTTTGGACAGTTTTTCATAGGACATCAGCCAGGTGATGTTTTCCAGGATCCACATTTCCACCAAGTTGCCTTGCCGCCATCGTTTGTTCAAATTGCCGGTTGGTGTTAAGAATTCCGGGTCTTTGGAACTGCCCCTGTGTCTGCTTCACTTTGAGACACCCCCAGCTTTTTGTGGGGGGGGGCTGCGAGAGCGCCCTGCCCATGGTTTTGGCTCAGGTTGGGAGGGCGCCGTGGATCTGATTTTGCAGCGCCACGGCTACGCGCACTCCTTCGCGCCGGTCTTCGCGGAGCACAACGCCACGCTCTTTGACCACCTCACTGCCGAGCACTTTGAGGCCTTGGGCCAAGCGGCACCTCGGATCTCGGAAGCGGAAAAAGGAAGAACAAAGAGGGGGCTGGTTTTTGTTTGAGGCGAAGGGTATTCTTGTTGGTGTTTTAGTGGGACAACCTGACAGAAAACCGAAGTCCATCTTGGGGGGGCTTCGCAAATTTGGATTCGGACCTGGAAGAAGGGACACCCACAGAAAGGCGTTGCCGCGTTGCCGCCGGGGATTCCTGTGAGAAACACCCTGGTGCCTGAGTTCCTCAACTGGACACTTGGGAAGACCCTTCTTGGTGGCAACCAAGTTTGGACTTGCTTGGCAAATCCTCTGATCCACCCATGTGGGATGGGGGAGCTTGAGGGAGTTTCAGATGCAGCAGCCAAGGAGCTGAGTCACCGCAAGTAAAAAATGACTTGGGACATTTATGATACAAAACGGGGAGGAGCTTGTCTTGAGAGCCATGGTTGCAAATTCTAGCGAGCCGGTAAAAGGGGTCCCTCTTTGGGGGGTCCCCTGACAAAGGCATCACATTCAAATCACGTAATTCTCTCATAGCGACTGCATACGCCAGCAAAGCGTCGAAACAACGCTTTTGGGAACAACCGGGCGTACCTTCATCTTGCGACCAAACGACTGAAACTTGCGCTTTGTCGGCAGAGTGCGTAAACCGATGCTCGCCTGGAAGGTCCAGATGGTGAGTTTCTTTGCTCTTGCCCTGCTTGTATGCACATCAGTCCTTTGGACAATTGTTTGTTAGCATGCTACCCTCCCTCCAACAATCATGGAAGCTGACAGGAGGGTGTTGAAAGACTGTTTTCCTCTTGGGGAAGCCCCCTGTCCACTTCCACGATTGTTGGAGGGAGGGTAGAATGTTGCTCTCCAGAAACTTGTATCTCCGTTTTGTCGATATCATTGTCGCCCTTTCTGGAACCACATGCTCTGACCGCATGGGAGTAATAGAGTTTAAAGCCAATGCTAAACCCATGGACCGGGAGTGGGGAAGACAAGCCCAATGTGGGGGTGTGTTTGTCTTTAGTGGGCCCTCCAAATCGACGGTTCTCCTTTTGGTGTCCTTTTAAACCACCCCGTTTCCAAAACGGGTATCTGATTTCTTCTGGGAAACTTGATGCTTTGAAGGGTGGGCCTGATTGGTGCCACTGGGAGTGTGGTGTGAGCCTGTGTGAGCCGAACAGGAAAAGGACAACTTTGCCTTGTGTGTGTGTGAGAGCTCAGTTTGCAAAAAATGAACTTGCTACCCCGCAATGCGATTTTGTGTTCATCGATTAACTGCATGGAACGATTGAAGCTGTCCAAGCGAGAGGACTGGTCAAAGACCAGGGCCTGAACGCGGTGATTTGGCTGCTGCCTGTCCCAAGCAATCAATGCGCTGCCATTCTTTGGAGATGTGTTTGCACCTTTGTCTTAGCCCTTAGAACAATTACCCACATTGAGGCCGGCTGTTCATACCTCTCAGGGTGTTTAGACACTTGGTGGTTTGCTGTCGTGCTGGTTTCTCATCGGTGCATGTTCTGCCTCGGGCCCCCTTGGATGACACATCGACATGTTGGATCTTCATTGGTGTAGAATCATGAATCAAGAAGGGCTCCAATGAAGCTCCAACACCAACGGGGTTTATTTTTGGAGCATGATTCAAAATCCAAGTTCATCTTCCACCAAAAAGGGCTGAAAGCACTGGGGACATCTGTGGACGCGAAGGGCAACTCGGCCAACTCGGGCAACGGCATTTAGTCGGACGTCGATCGGCACCGAGGTGGAGCGGCACTTCCCCTCGACCGCTGCGGAGCTGAAGGGCCTGGCGCGGCAGTTCCAGGGGAAGGGCTTTGCCGTAAGCTTCCAGCGCCCCGGTGCCGGGCAAATCGGGGGATTTTCGTGGGGCGGCCCTTGCTGGGTTTCTGGAAGCAGCCAAAGTTTAGACTTTCCATGGCAGCTGATTTGGGGGGGTGCTTGTGGTTGTTGGTTTGGTTTCTGGAGGGTAAAGCCTGAGACAAAAGATGGAGCTGTGACAGAGTCCAATCATATCCTCATAGTAATGTGTATTATGAGTTTCGGTCAAGAATAGGAGTAATTAGTCTGTGGTACCATTCGAGAGGGACTGGGTCAAGTTTGGCAGTTCAGAATTTCACGCTTCAAAGGACACAGGCCAAGGGGCCCAACGTGGATTGGGTGCAAATCATTGCTTCCGATGAGGAAAGCACTGCGAGGATCGTTGTGAAGATTGCGCAACTTCCATGCTTCACAAAAAGTCTTGCTGCTCAACTCAGCTACGCTGGCCTAAACATCCGCAACCCCTACCCAATATAACTGGGCTATTAAAATCCATAGCACTCAGGGCCTGAGAGGGGAACAGCTCTTGGCTTAGGTTGCGACCACCCTTTCTGGAAGAAATGCCAAACCCGCCGAAACGGACAGCAACCAACAAAAGTTTAACGCAATTTGTTGGTTTCCCAAATCCCATGAAATGTTTTCTGTTGTTTCCAGACCCCCACTTTTCCACTGGTAAGTTGCGATTAGACTCTCCACGTAATCGAGGTACCTGGCCGCGTGGCTCTACTTCCACGAGCTCGCGCACAGCGACGCCAAGGCGACCGACTTGGAAGCGCGAGAGTGCACGGGCATCGTGACGCAAGCTGCCGAGGCCCAGACGCATGGGGGGGAACCCCAACAGGGCGCATGGAGATGGGTGAGATGGGTTCATGGGCATTTAGCTTTACTAGAATGTTCGGCCCTGGCTGTGGGCGCGTGTTCTTGAGAGGGCACCTTTTTCGTGGGTTGGTGCAAAGACCATGTGAAGAGATTTCCAACTGTTGAACGTTGGAACAAAACGCTACATAGGTGTCCCTTTTGACAGGAAAACAACACAAACAACGGGTTACCCCCTGTCCAGTGGTCAGCGTGGTTGGTTTTACTGTGATTGGTTTTATCGGTACTTTTAGTTGTGGTTCCTTTTGAATCAAGCAGCAAAAACTGTTCAACTTCCTCTTCTTTGTACATGGGTTGCCCTTGGTATGGTTTCCTGGTTTGAGATCCATCAAGAGAAGGGGCAAGTCCTGCCGCGCTTCCATGGGGGCAGCCACTTAAGGATGGCTCCATCCTGCACGTGGCCAACATGGAGCGGCGCTCAGGTTCAGAACAAATGGCCAATGCCGAAAAATGTGGTGGCTTTGTGGTCTTGTTGCCAAAAAAGTGAATGTCCCCCACCAAAACGGGACACACCATACAAATCGACCAGTTCATGACTCTTGGATTCCCATTTGCAGCTCGGGAGCGGCTCGGCGTCCGTGTCAAGCCAGCATGTGTGGCACAGGATCAATCCCCGCTTGCGGCACGCAACTTGACCATCCGGGTGAGCGTTGTCAGCAGCAGCGGGGACTTGCTTTTCGAAGGACGATCGGGTGAGTCTGTCATGCTTTGCGGAAGATTGTATTTTGACTGACATATCAGCACAACATGTGTCGCCGCACTGCAGTCGCGGAAGGTTCGAGGAAGGTTTGCGGAAGTGTCTTTTTTTTTCCCCGCGGAAGGGACCCCTTCTATTTGCACACAGTAGATTGATTTCGGTTGGGTGGTTGTTGCTTTACTAGCAAACCGTACGCACGAATTCCCTCGCGGAAGCCACCGCGCGGAAGCACTTGTACAAACTTATGTAGAAACATGCTCGCGGAAGGTGCCCTTCATAGCAAAGCGCGGAAGCTTCGCGGAAGGTTTCGGGGAAGGGTTTGATACGTCAATGCAAATTTAAGGGAATAAACAACACCACTCATATGGGGTCATTTTCTTGCAAAGCAACTTGTTAGTTCGGTCGCCAGTTTGGGTCATGGCTGTACACCCTTAGATGTGTGGTTCGCACATGAAGCTGCAGTCATGTCAGGAGTAGACTGGTACACTCTGCTCTCTACTGGCATGAGCCGTGCAGTGAAGCGAGGCGGGGTGAAATGTGAGTGTCCGCTTGAACTAAAAAGGCGCGTGTTTTGGGTTCCTAGCCATGGCTATGCCCACTGGCAGAAGCCAATATTAGGATCCTATCATGTGGGCCCGACTTGGAGTCAAGTCTGTCTCAGTTGGAAGAGCTGGCGAAGCATTGCAGCAGCTTGCATTTGTGCACTGAAAATGCTGCTAGCCTTTTGTTGGTTTGGGAAGGACATGGGGGCCACACTTGAATTTGCTCGAAATAAATTACGAGCGCCGACCCGATGCCCCCGGGCGAGCATGTCTGAGGAGTTGGGTCGGTGCAAGAGAACTGGCGGACTACCACGGTGCGGAAGCTGGAAGATGTCATGGCAGACATTGAGTGGCCTGGCCGAATGCTTCTTCCCGGTACCTCCAGCTGCCACGTGGGTTCTCCAAAGTGGGGACTGTTAGGTCCAGTTCCGACTCTTTTAAGATAGACCCGGTTGGCTTCGAGTCGCCTCTTGGATTGCTGTTTCAAGCGACACAGAGCTGGGCCGGTTTTTATGCCCGCTCAAAAGGCCACAGGCGGCACCTTGGGCGGGTCCAGGGCCATACTTCTGATGCCCCACCTGTTGGCCCCAAGTTATCTCTGCCAGCCTACGATTCCCCCTTTGTGTAGTTTTAGAAATCTCACCAAGTTGGGCCCTATGTTGAGTGAGTTTCCTTTAAGTGGGGAGATATTCAATGCGAAGTATAGGGCCGTATAGGGAGCCCTAGCGATGAAGGCAGCTTACGGGTTTCCCAGGCGCGGGGTGGTGTCGCAGATGTTGGTCTTCCGCCACGCCTTTGAGAAAGAGGCCCAGCTGCAGTGGTTTTTGGTTTCTGTGGCGCATGTTTGTTGCTTCAGACACCGTTGTGTTTGCTTTGCAAGTCAGGCCACCCCAAAAAGAGTAGCTATTTGTCAACTTAAGCTGGTTCTTTGGACCTCCAAAAGTTGCAGTCAAAAGCAAGGCTCAAAGTTGGTAATGCTTTCCAGGGTGTGATCCAACCTTTGCGTCATTCGCAGACCAAAGTACCCCCCAGCCGCCTTGTTAATTGGTTTGAGTTTCTCCGCGACACGCAGCCCCTTTGGTTCAGTACAGCCACTCAAGAAGGCATGCCACTGTCTGGTTTCAGGTTCGGTTTTCCTGTGACGTCAGCCACCAGAACAGCGGCGCCGGCTTGCACCTTTTTCAGGTTCAGTTTCCTTTGAAATCAGTTTGGACCTTGAAACGCGGCCGATCTTTGGAACCCCGTCGATAGATCGCTTATGTCGGTTTTGAGGAATCCAGGTTAGAGCCCCTCGTGTTCTGACGCGGTGTTCAAGTCTCTCAGCCTTCCACTCCCCAAGTTCCCTGAGGTCTGACCATTGGAATGTCAAACCGCAAGTCTGTTGCTCGTTTGGTTGCCAATCCATCAAGGTGAGAGATGCCCACAGGCTCCCGGATACATCAAATGCGCAAGACCAACCTGCCTTGCAAAAGCCTTGAGGCTGTTGGACTTCGGAGATGATGTCTCCTTTCACCGAAGCTGTCAGGACGTCCTCACCTTCCCAGACTTCGTGGCCCACGTGACCCAGGTGCCACTGGCCGCCCCGCGGCCCGGCCAGAAAGGGCGAGGGGTCAAGCCTCACCCGGGGCTTTGAAAGTGGATCTTTTGTTGGGTAAAGGGAAACCAGAAAGAAACTCCCCCAAACCGGGAAGAGTTTTTCCCGATTTTGAGAAACACCAGTTGAGCAGAGTTGTGTTTCTATGTATGCGCACAGTCAAGGGGGAATTATCTATATACTGCGGAGATACCGCGTAGGCTGTTCAAGAACGTTGTACGTACGCAGGTTCGGTCATGTGTTTCCGTTTACATAACTTAAGAGTAGCGCCCAAAAAAAAATGAAGAAAAAAGAGAAACAACGGTGTGCGTGGGCACTCTTTCGGGTAGGCGCTTGTTGCGGCGTAGGCTGGCATAGGCACTCTTTCATGGTTTTACACACCCGCGCAGGCTCCACTCAGGCAGGGCTTCCAGTGCATACGGCCGATAGACAACAAACAACTCCACTCAACTCAACTCAACTCAATTCAACTCAACTCAACTCAAACAACTCAACAACAACAAGCAACTGAAACAGGGTCGAGTAAGTGTGTGTGTGTGTGCGGAGTGACAGAATGCCCTGTCACCACTATTAGTAGCAGGGGGCCAGCGGCCGTCAAGCAAACGCTGGCCAACGAAGCTATGCTTGATGGTGGATGCACGGATTGATCACCCGTGTGTACCTGCTTTTGTGAAGTGATGTTGATGAAAGTCCAGTTGGCCGCTTCTTTTGCCGCTGTGTGTGCTTCATGTTGAATCTTGTAACGTTTTCGACACTAGAGTGAAGCCAAGTGACCTGCCAGCCGAACCTTATCCGACTTGAGACTTGTCAGTTGTACTCGGGACTCATCAGTTGTACTCGAGACTCATCAGTTGTACTCGAAAGATTAGCACCCTCCATCTGGAGTTTAAGTGTGTACACCCCATTCGTGGGGAATCCTCGGGTGTACCCATTGTGTGACCCCGGGCCGGCTCTGTCGGAAAATTTGACCTCAACGTGCTTATCATAGAACAGCGGAATTTCACATTTAACCAGGAACGAGGTTTCACTAAAGGGAAGACAGCCGTCAGATCATAGCGACGTCTCACAATTGCTGCTGTTGGCTGCTGACTTGAACTTGCATTGACTTGCATTTTGTCGGATTCGTTTCTCTCAAGATTGAGGTGTTGCGGTTGTGAGTTGGTTGCGCCACCATGTCTCGACGTGATGATCGTGACAGATCCAGGACTCGGCACAGACGGGATCGGAGTCCTCCCCTCAAACTCGTAAAGCACGCCGACGTGAACACAATGACAACCAGGTCTCGGAGGGCATGTGTCTTTCTCCCTGTGCTCGTCGCCGACCAGGACATTACCATTGCAGGTGTGTGCGGCATCAGCGGCGGTGAAGCATAGGTGTCGTATACTATAGACCTTGTGGATTCGTCCCGCCTTCAGTTTGAAAAGTTGCCTTGCATTGCGTTGCTCAACACATGCCTTTCTACATCATGGACGGAAGTGTCTTTCTCCCTGTGCTCGTCGCCGACCAGGACATTACCATTGCAGGTGTGTGCGGCATCAGCGGCGGTGAAGCATAGGTGTCGTATACTATAGACCTTGTGGATTCGTCCCGCCTTCAGTTGAAAAGTTGCCTTGCATTGCGTTGCTCAACACATGCCTTTCTACATCATGGACGGAAGTGTCTTTCTCCCTGTGCTCGTCGCCGACCAGGACATTACCATTGCAGGTGTGTGCGGCATCAGCGGCGGTGAAGCATAGGTGTCGTATACTATAGACCTTGTGGATTCGTCCCGCCTTCAGTTTGAAAAGTTGCCTTGCATTGCGTTGCTCAACACATGCCTTTCTACATCATGGACGGAAGTGTCTTTCTCCCTGTGCTCGTCGCCGACCAGGACATTACCATTGCAGGTGTGTGCGGCATCAGCGGCGGTGAAGCATAGGTGTCGTATACTATAGACCTTGTGGATTCGTCCCGCCTTCAGTTTGAAAAGTTGCCTTGCAATTGTTGAAATTGCGTTGCTTTCACATGCCTTTCTACATCATGGACGGAAGTGTCTTTCTCCCTGTGCTCGTCCCGACCAGGACATTACCATTGCAGGTGTGTGCGGCATCAGCGGCGGTGAAGCATAGGTGTCGTATACTATAGACCTTGTGGATTCGTCCCGCCTTCAGTTTGAAAAGTTGCCTTGCATTGCGTTGCTCAACACATGCCTTTCTACATCATGGACGGAAGTGTCTTTCTCCCTGTGCTCGTCGCCGACCAGGACATTACCATTGCAGGTGTGTGCGGCATCAGCGGCGGTGAAGCATAGGTGTCGTATACTATAGACCTTGTGGATTCGTCCCGCCTTCAGTTTGAAAAGTTGCCTTGCATTGCGTTGCTCAACACATGCCTTTCTACATCATGGACGGAAGTGTCTTTCTCCCTGTGCTCGTCGCCGACCAGGACATTACCATTGCAGGTGTGTGCGGCATCAGCGGCGGTGAAGCATAGGTGTCGTATACTATAGACCTTGTGGATTCGTCCCGCCTTCAGTTTGAAAAGTTGCCTTGCATTGCGTTGCTCAACACATGCCTTTCTACATCATGGACGGAAGTGTCTTTCTCCCTGTGCTCGTCGCCGACCAGGACATTACCATTGCAGGTGTGTGCGGCATCAGCGGCGGTGAAGCATAGGTGTCGTATACTATAGACCTTGTGGATTCGTCCCGCCTTCAGTTTGAAAAGTTGCCTTGCATTGCGTTGCTCAATACATGCCTTTCTACATCATGGACGGAAGTGTCTTTCTCCCTGTGCTCGTCGCCGACCAGGACATTACCATTGCAGGTGTGTGCGGCATCAGCGGCGGTGAAGCATAGGTGTCGCATACTATAGACCTTGTGGATTCGTCCCGCCTTCAGTTTGAAAAGTTGCCTTGCATTGCGTTGCTCAATACATGCCTTTCTACATCATGGACGGAAGTTTCTTTCTCCCTGGGCTCGTCGCCGACCAGGACATTACCATTGCAGGTGTGTGCGGTCGTATACTGTAGACCTTGTGGATTCGTCCCGCCTTCAGTTTGAAAAGTTGTCTTGCATTGCGTTGTTCAACACATTCTCATTGCGTCAGGTTGTCATGGCATGAGTGTTTTCGCCGCAGAGTCAGTGGATTTGCGATTTCTTTCAGCGGCCCTGCGACGACCAGTTTTGGCGCTATGAATCCTCACTATTTTGAGTACCACATCGAGAGAGGAGTGGAATGGATTCGAATTTACACACCGGGCACGTGGCAACCCGTAGCCACAGATACTCTGGTTCGTGCCCCAGACTACGCTTCCACGAATCGGGAGTGGCGCAAGTCATATCACTTTGACGTGTACTTGCCCGAAGACAGCACCGGAGGAACAGCTGCGGACCCCAATGTCACGCCCAGTTCGTATGTGTCATACCACGTGTGGGAGTACCGAGACTGGGAAACACGAGGTTATCAACGCCTTGGCGCTCCACTACCAGCCATTGGATCGGCGGCGCTCGTGAATGAAGAAGCTACTTCCTCGTTGGAGTCTTCAGTTCCGGATGGGGCGTGGCGGGAACCTTCACCACCACCATTCTATGATCCTTGGAACGAATCGGATTGATGCTTGAGCAACATATCGGTTAAAATGATGCGATTGTGCCTGATTTGATTGCGGCATTTTGTTGGGTTGTCTTGGATTGTGTTGTGCCTTCCGGTTCCATGTTTTCGCCGCTTCCCTTTTGCCTCCTAGCGGCTTCCCTGGTTGATATGTTCAATTCTACAATATATGGCACTGCAAGATGGACCCTGCCACGCTTCTTTGAGTACGACATCGTCAATGGCCCTGCGAGCACAAGCGTTGAATGGATTCGGGTCTATGTACCTGGTCCGTGGCAACCAGGTGCCGACAACACCTTGGGACCTGCCCCGGAGGACGCAACCACCTATCGGGAATGGCGCAAAGTCTACCACTTCGACGTGCATTGGCCTAGGGACAGCACGGGCGGCACCAATATGGGGCTCTGTTTCCCAGCCGGTCTCATATGCGTCCTTCTATACATGGCAGTATCGTGACTGGGTCACCAGAGGATATCAACGGCTCGGGCGTCCGCGCCCCAACTTTGCACGTCCAGTTTTCGTTTCGGGATCACCAGACCTCATGTACGCTGGACTGTCCTTTTCGTCGACATCCTCGAACTCAGATGGTGACTGATGCTCGTCCTCATCTTTTCTGGATATTCAATTTGATTGGGGCGAGTGACTTCGACACCTGAGCCGCGCCTTGCTACAAAAGTGTTTGCTTGCATGTTTGATGTTGTGTCACATGTAGTAATAGCTGTCTGCAGCCGTACACCTCTCAATCTGTTATCAAGGGTTTGAGTTGTCATGCCGTGGCTGGAGTGGTGTCCGGATCCTCAACAACCAGATGCCCAGTGAGTCAAGATCTTTCATCCGGGATCATGGACTCCACAGGACGAACATGATGCTCCACCTCCGCCTCACACATACAGAGAGTGGAAGGAGTTCTATGTCCCAAATCCTGATCAAGACGGTGCGCAGCCCAACGTCAGCATTTGGTACAAAAGAGACTGGGCCACAGAGGGCTATCGGCGAGTCGCTGCCCCTCAAGCTGGTCATGACTTCGACTCGATGTCTTTTCCTGATCAACATAGCGTGGCCACACAATCCTCGGCATTGTGTATGTCACCGCAAATGTTGGATGCGATTCTTAGATCATCGGATGCGGCGGCTTTCTCCACTGAGGATCTGACACGTCTTCAAGATGGGATCTCTCAACAACTGTCGGATCGCGCGCGTCATCCATCCCAACAACACCAACCAGTACGTGCATCTCGTGGAATTGCACCACCAGAGTCTATTGGGGTCTCTGATCCATACCTGCCTACGACACAATCATGCAGCCCCACCGCCAAAGTGAAGCCTATCTTCGAGCTAAATGATGACTAGACTGATGCGTGTTGGGCATGGCACAAAAGAGTGATTTTCATGCTTGTGCTGCCTTGCTTGGTTGCTGATTGTGCATGGTTGTGCATGGTGACTGTTTCTTTACTAGCTGGATCTGAGCCCTGTCTCTCACTTCGGCATGGACATCGAGGATCCAAAGCAGTACCCGTGGCTCGAATATTCGGTCTGGCAGGATCAGGAGTGGGTGCGGATCTATACTCCGGGACAACCTCAGCTGTGGCAACCTGGAGAAACCGTACCTGACCTACCAGACAACTCGTTTCGGGAGTGGAAGCGGGTAACTGATCCCATTGGTGAGACTGGTGAACACAGTCAGGCGTGGACCATTCGCGACTGGCAGCATCAAGGATACCAACGCATTCTTTCTCGCAGGGAGTCCTTCTCCACACATCATGCCCGTGATCAATCACTTGTTGATGTGCAGAATTCCGACGCAATCCGAGTCGAGGAAATGTTCACCTATGCTCCCCCTATTTCTGACGGTGATCGCTCGACTGCTTTGCAATTCCCTCCGGTCTTCTATGGCGACACCCGTAATGCTCATCGTGGTGATCTTTCGTTCCCGTCGGCTTAGGGCAGTTTCGCGTTCCCCTCGCCGCGGTGGATATTTTGGCAAACGATAAGGACACAAAGTTGAGCATGTGATCTTCGTGCTGGAAAAGAGACTTCTCGCCCCTCACTGAGGGGCGTGTGTGTGCGGAGTGACAGAATGCCCTGTCACCACTATTATCAGGGGGCCAGCGGCCGTCAAGCAAACGCTGGCCAACGAAGCTATGCTTGATGGTGGATGCACGGATTGATCACCCGTGTGTACCTGCTTTTGTGAAGTGATGTTGATGAAAGTCCAGTTGGCCGCTTCTTTTGCCGCTGTGTGTGCTTCATGTTGAACCTTGTAACGTTTTCGACACTAGAGTGAAGCCAAGTGAC